AAAATGGACACCCCCCACCTTGGCAGCTACCTCACAGGCTGTCCCGAGTTCGAGAGCTACTGAGTTTGGGCGCTTGGCCTTCTAGACAGAGGGAAGATTTTCAGATGCCATTAAGATTGTGAACTCTTTGAGGCCAGGGACTGTCTTATGCATCTTTTTGTATAGGCTGGCACATAGTAGGAACCATACATGTTTTAGTTATCATTATCGTTGTTGTATGAGGTAATGTAGGTAAAGTGCTTTGTGAACCTTAATGTGCTGTGGCCAGTCACCATTGTCTTGGGGCAGCCCCAGTCCCTGGGAGCTCCTCGGACAAGTTTCTTGTGCCCTTTCCTCCAGGGGCCAGTGCTGTTGTCTGTCCCCTTGGGAGGGTAGCACAGTTATGGTTGTCCATATTTTACAGAGGAGGAGACTGAGTCAGAGCCCTGGAGGGACCTAAGTAAAGGTCTGAAGTGGGATCTGCACTTGTCTTTCCTGCCTAGCCCAGCACGCTGTACTGTACAAGACTCCCCCTACCATAGACTGTGAGAGCTGACCAGGTCTCCCCTCATTTTACAGATGAGTAAACTGAGGCCAAGAAGAGAGGAAAGGGTTTACACTATGGTCACACAGGTATTAACTGGCCCAAAGCCAAGACTCCTGACCAGTCACTTCCCTGCTTCACTAGGATGGTTGGAATAAGTGGGAACGGTTTCACAGGCAGAATTCAACAAGTGCCTACTGTGTGCCAGGCCTTAAGTGAGGCTCTGTCCCCCAGAGAGCTTCTGGAGCCTGCAGCCCAAGGAGGCAGTGCCACACGCTGGACGGTTGGACTTAGAATGCCCGGGTTCAAATCCCACTCCGCTGCCTACTGCCCACCACTGTTGCGGGCTGAGAGGTCGAGAGGTTGTGACCCCTCAAAGACTGAAGTACACAAAGGGTGGTCTGGAATGAATTCACTGACTCAAGCATTCTCTAAGTCAAGGTGGCAAAGATTTATTGTTACACCTTTCAGTGGGCAAGGATTCCTAAGGATCCTGCAACCTTTGAGTGGCACAGTTAAAGTTTGTATAGGATAAAATACAATAAAACATGTGCTAAATATGCTAACTAGGGGATTCAGGGTGGGATTGGGGAGTGATTAAGGAGTGGTCAGTTCTTAAAAGAACATGCACTTCTTATACCTACTGCACAAGCGTTTTACCCAGAGTTCACTAGGAAAAGCCCACAAGGGGGGCCACGTGGAGGTGTGGTTTTAGGCCTGCTACGTCACTAAGTCAACTAGAGTTCAGGGTAACTGAGAGTTGTCCAGTCTGCCACCAATCAATGTCTTGTTTGACAAGATAGATGTAGGGAGTATACCTATGTCTTACGTCTAGAATACAGTTAATGAGGAGCCCAGCACGTAGATAATGAGGTAGGGCAGTAATATGTCTTTATGACCCAGTGCAAAGCCAGTCTAAACTAATAATTCCTTCAGGTGCTGTTTGGAACTGCACCAGGGAGAGAGAGAAGGAAGGCTAGCTGGGGCCCACTCATGAGTAATTGCCAGGCACAGTGTCCTTGGGCTGGGGAGAAACTGTCAGGGACAGTGTTTCTGAGGCTAGGGAGAAATCGGGGTCCAAGCACAAGCACCCAAGCACCCTATCACTACCACTGCTGGGGACAGATTTCTTCCGAGCCTTCCTCATCTGGAGGTAAGGGGATGATCTGGATGGGAGCCTTCCAGTGAACCAGACGAGCCTGCAGGCAAGAGCCAGTGCTGAGAGGCACTGAAGAGGATCTGATCTGATCTGGGCCCAGGCCAGCCTTTGCTGGGATGGAAGGAACGGGTGGATTCCAACTGACCCCACGTGGTTAATGCCCTTTCTAAAGGGGATGGTTTGGGACAGTGGACAGTAGAAAGAATGCTGTCTTCAGTTTCAGAGGAGCTGGATTCAAATCCTGCCACCGACAACAATGAGCTATAAGGCCTAGGGTAAGCCATGCCATCCCCTATGCCTCCATTTACTCATCTATGAAGTAAAGGCGTCACACTCGATGGCCTCTCGGTCTTTGGGTATGTCCATTCTGAACAGTGCCGGACAATGTGCCCACTTGTAGCGTGAGTCTGGATGGCTCGTCTGGGATCCTTGTAGACCTGAGTTCCATAGAAAGAGTGTGTCCAGATGGCCCAAGAATCCCTTCTTTCGGAGAGGAAGCTGGCTCAATTCATTTTTTTAAACGTGACTAGAGAGTAAAGGGCTGATTCCCCATCAACCCCAACTCTCCAGGCACGCTCCATTTGGATTGCCCTATTAATGCAGGAATCCAGTGGAGAAATTTTCTATCCAAGGCAGTCTGGTTTCTCCCTTGAAGGTGAGAGGTTGACTTTCAGTTGACCCAAGGTCTCAAATCCCTGTTGGAAGAGGGAAAGGAAGATTCCTTCTAGCTTAGACTCTATAATCCTATACATATCACATTCCTCATAGAATGGAAGCTTCCCAAAGGCAAAGAATATTTTTTGGGTTTGTCTTCATATCCCCGGTGCCTAGCACATCTTCTAATACTTAAATGGCTCTGTGTTTTCAAAAGACTTAAATCGATTGTCATAACAAAGAGACTAAAAGATTCCCCAAAAGATTTCAGTTGGCAAACACTTGACTTGCCAAGAAAAGAAAGATGGAAACCAAGGGCAACATAGGTTTAGAATATCGCCAGGTTTGTTGCAGTCTTAAGGATGGGAGCTTTGGAGCGGAGTGGAGAAGAGGAAGCAGCTGAGTTTGTGAGTTTAAACTGGGTTAGCCCTGCCCTTTAAGATTTTTATTCTGAGCCCCTCCGAATCACACCCAAGATTAGAGATATCAGAGGTGTGATTGATAAGGCTCATTCTGACTCAATAGCCCTCTCAGAGATAGACTTCCCAGCCTTCCCCCAAGCTAGATTGTTGTGGGTATGAGCATAATAATGATGATGATGATAGCCAGAATGTATGGGATGTCTACCAAATGGTCTTTTCTTTTAGGCAGCTGGTGGCACAGTGGATAGAGTGCCTGGCCAAAGAAAGACCTGAGTTCAAATCTGACCTCAGACACTTACTAGCCATGTGACCCTGGGCAAGTCACCTGCTTGCCTCAGTTTCCTCATCTATAAAATGATCTAGAGAAGGAAATGGCAAACCACTCCAGTATCTCTGCCAAGAAAATCCCAAACGGGGTCAACAAAGAGTCAGACATAACTAAACAACGAAGTACCAGGTACTTTGCAAATATTATCATATTTTCTCCTCTCATTGTTGAAAGGAGGTAGGGAATGAAAGGGGATAGGTGATATTATTATCCCCATTTTACAGATGAGGAAACTGAGGAAGATAAAAGTCAAGTGACTTGCACATAGTTGCACAGTTAGTATCTGAGGCTAGATTTGAATTCAGTTCTTCCTGACCTCATTTTAATAACCAATTATTGAATCAGGACTAAGATTTTTCCCTTCCTATTTCCTTATTCGCTATTAGGCCAAATCAGGCTCTGAAGAATAGGGCTGATAATGAGATTGGATTTAACATTTCCCTCAATCTTGTTCAGATGCCAGCTTGTTCTCCCCAGGCGCAGGGTGGGGGGGGGCGGGGAGATTTTGTCTAGATTGCCCTGGGGTGGGAGGGGGTGGTCTAGGAGTAAGAGTGACATAGTCAGTCCCTCATTAGAATAGGTCCAGCTCTCATTGTAATATTAATTCTTTTCATTAATTGTTCACCAATCAGCTACTGTCAGGAACACCTACTCTTCCAAGGGCATATAAGCCACAATTAATAAAATAATTACCCAGAAATTATGTCTCTCGAACTTTTTATGTGTCACTCCTTCTCCATGGCTCTCTAGGAGGGGGGCAGAGGGATAAACATGAGGGGAAATTTAGGCCATGTGACAAAGTAGGAGAGCAAAATGAGTCGGGGATTGGAGGACTGTTTTAGCTCCTTGTTCTGATGCACAGGGGATCCGCATTCTGTCAGCCAATCCAGAGTCATGTTCCCTTCCGCAGATACCACAAGCACATTCAGGGCACCCTCAGCCCTCCCAGCCCCAAGCTTGGGTGGGAAAGGAACTGCCGTCCTGTTGAATAGGCAACAAAATACAATATAATTTGATTTCCAGTCATGCATTGTCATAGCTGGGCTCAGAAGGAGGCTCCGCTTTGGAACAAGCACATTACCTTTCAGGTGATCAAAGCCCTCTTATTCTTCTGTGGTTCCCCTTTTTCCCAGTGTAATCAATCACCCTGAGAGCAGGGGCTTTCTTCCTTTTTTCCTTCTGTCTCCCCAGCACTTAGCACAGTGCTGGGCATATAATAAGCACTTAACCAGCACTCCTCAGTAGGGCACACAGTAGGTGCTTAATAAATGTGCCTTGGCCAGGCACACAGTAGGCACTTAATCAGTGCTTCTCAGTTGGGTGTACAGTAGGTGCTTGACCAGCATCCCTCAGTTGGGTATACAATAGGTGCTTGACCAGCATTCCTCAGTTGGGTATACAGTAGGTGCTTGACCAGCATCCCTCAGTTGGGCACACAGTAGGCGCTTAATGAACGTGCCTTGGCTGGGCACACAGTAGGCACTTAATCGGTGCTCCTCAGTTGGGCACACAGCAGGTGCTTGACCAGTGCTCCTTAGTTGGGCACACAGTAGGCACTTAATCAGTGCTCCTCAGTTGGGCACACAGCAGGCGCTTGACCAATGCTCCTCCTTAGCTGTGGCATCCCTCGCTGTGGGGGCGAAGGCAGAGGCCAGGGCCTCCTTCCTCACCCACCAGGCAGTGGAGGCCAGGCCCAGACTTCCTTTCCCCTCAGGTGGGTTTGAATTTTTGTTCCCCCAGGGCAGCCCTTCATTCATCCCGCTGTCCTGCGGCCTCTGCGCCGCCTGAGGGCGCCCGAGAGCTCCCCGCCAGCGTTTCCCCGGCCGGGCGTCAGGGGGCGGGGCGCGGGCGGCCCAGGGCGGGCGGCGATTGGCGGAGGCTGCCTGCGGGGGCGGGCCTTGGGGCGGGCTCGGGGCCCCGCTTCGGACAATGAGCGACCGTAGACGGGAGAGCGGCGGTGGGTGAGGGGCCCGGATTGAGGACGTTCCCCCCGCCGGGGTCCGGAGACTCTATGGTGGCGGGGAGGACCCGGGCTGGGCGGCTGCAGGTCCGTGGCACGCGGGCGGTGGGCGGTGGGCCCAGGCCGGCCGGGAGCGGAAGGGGCCGGGCCGGAGGGGCGGGGGTCGGGGCCGGGCGGTGGCGGCGGCCGGGCCGGGCCGGGCCGCGGCCGTCCTGACCTGTGCTCTCCGCCCCCCCCCCCCCCGCTAGGCAGGACCATGGCCCTGAAGGCCGAGCCCGCGCCGCTGGACTGCATCCAGGTGACGCTCAAGTGCGAGGACGTGGAGGAGGTGCAAGTGGAGGACGACGAGGACGAGGGCGAGGACAGGGGACCCCGGGCCCAGACCCCCCCGGGCCGCTGGCCGCCGCCCCGCCGCCGCCGCGCCCTGCCGCCCGCCGGGCCCCCGGCCGAGCCCGCCATCCCCATCCCCGCGGCGCTCCGCGAGCCGGTGCTCAGAGGTGAGGACGCCCCGGGAGCGGGAGCAGGAGCGGGAGCGGGGAGGAGGACCCCAGTGCCCCGCCCCGGGGATGCCCGCCCGAGGGCCCCCTGCCGCGGCCTGCGCGCCGAGGTCCCGCTGCGGAGGAAGGAGCGGGGCCGGGGATGATGTCCTGGGAGGACTCGGGCTCAGGGCCGCGAGAGCGAGGGGAGGGGGCTGCCAGGAAGGAGGGGAGGGGCTCGGCCCACCCTGCTGCCTTGCCCGTGTTCTGGCAGCAGAAACCGAGGCCCAGGGAGGCAGGTGACCCGTGCCAGGGCGTTCTGGGAGGCACCGGACCGAGCCCCCACCCGCGGTTTAGATAAATCCGCCCCCGCGCGCGTGCCTGCATGTGCATCCTGTGTGGGTAGACGCACAAACACACCCCCACACACGTGCACGTTGTGGTTCTACGTGTAATGTGTTGTGTGATTTTTATCTGCACGTATGTGTGTACACACGTGTGCAGAGGGGAGAACCTCAGACAGGCGGAATCTCAAGCCATCGCCCCAACTTTCTCATGGTTTATTTTTTTGTGTAAATATAAACACAGGTGTAATTATATATACATTAATGTGTATATATATGTGTATAATATAATTTTATTTTTTGTTGTTCAGTTGTTTTCAGTCATGTCCCATGTGGGGTTTTCTTGGCAGAGATGCTAGTGAAGTTTGCCATTTCCTTCTCCAGCTCATTTGACAGATGAGGAAACTGAGGCAAACAGGGTGAAGTGACTTCCCCAGGGTCACAGAGCTAGTAAGTGTCTGAGGACAGATTTGAACTCAGGTCCTCCTGACTCCAGTCCCAGCTGTCCATCCACTGTGCCACCTAGCTCCCCATATAATTTTATGTATGCATGTTCATATATGCACATACACATACATGTGCCCTTTGTGTTTGTATAGATACTGTATGTACATTGCACTGTGTATCTATACACATGATATATGTGTGTGCATGTGCTAATATGCACACATATATGTGATCTATATCATCTATCTTTTCTCTCCACCTCACCCCCAACTGCCCTGGAAACTGAGGCCCATCGAGGCAGGTGACTTGTCCAAGGGCACCCGTGGGATCCCAGGGACCTCAGAGACCCTGCCCCGACTTCCTCATTTTTATGTGTGTATCTATACACCTTTATCATTACGCGTGTTGTGTTCATATATGTATATATAAGTGCACATGCATATATAGGTATCTATAGATCAATATCTATAGAAAGACTTCTTCCATCTATATCGACATAATGTGTATATGTGTAATTATGTGTGTATATGTGCACATAGATACATGTACATGAATGTAGTATGTGGAAACTGAGGTCCGGCGAGATCACACGACCTGCCCAAGGTCACCCAGAGGCCACATTGGACTCTCGCCCTCCTTGGCCTGGAATGACTTAAGGTTTGGTTATGAATGAGTGAGAAAGCCAAGCATTTATGAAGTGCCTACTGTGTGTGGGCGCTTGGCCAGGGGTTGGAGATGCACATACCCAAGGGAGACATTCTTGGCCTCGTTTCCATTCTGAGTGGGGAAGACATCCACAGTAATGCAGCATACACACAAAATAAATCCTCCATGATGGCGGTGGGGAGGCCTTCGAGCCGGGAAGACCGCAGCTGGACAGGGCAGCGGAGAGGTCTTAATGAGTCTGGGGCAGTCTGTAAAGTCTGGTTTGCCTCTTTGCCCCTAAGGATAGAATCCAGTGAGAGTATGCCATTCCTCCCCTTCCTTCCCCTCCCACTTCCTCCTTCCCCCCCTTCCTTCTCCTTCTTCCTCTTTACCTCCCCCTTCCTTCCCCTTCCTTCTTCTCCTCCTCCTCCTCCTTCCCCTCCCCCTCCTGCTCTCCTCTCCCTGCCTCTTCTCCTCCCCTTAGTCTTTCCCTCCTGCTTTCTCCTTGGCACCTCTCTCTGGGATGGCTGCGTGCCCCACCCCCCCAGCAGGTGGAGATGGGCATCCCTGCGGAGGTCCCTGGGGCCCAGGAGCTCTGCCTTTGGCCTGTGATAAAAAGGAATCTTTTGGCAGAGGGAGTCCCTGGCTCCTGATTCAGGTGAGGGCTGAGCTGGGGAAAAAGCCTCCATTGCTCAGTGCCTTGGGAGGCCGGGCCTGGGGCTGAGCATGGGAGAACAGGGGGGCATACCCATCTGTCCCAGTCAGACCACGCTGAGTTTTATCTTGTTTTCTGGTGGGGTGGGCCAGCCAGGCTCCCTGGACTGGAGGGCTGCAGAGGGTGAGCTGCCCGTGCCAGCTAAGCGAGGGTCAGAAGCGCGGAGCCCCCATTCTGGGGGGGGGGAGTTGTTGCCTTAGAGAGTGGGCCTTCCCTGAGGGCAGGGTCTGCTCCCTGCCCCTCGTTTCTGCCTTGGTGCCCGGGTGCTTGGAGCACCTGGGGCAGATATTCCATTTCCTTACCTGTGAGATAGGAATGGAAGCAGACCCACAGACTTCTTTTCCCACCATTGGGTGTCGAGTGCAGACAGAGGTTGTTAGGACCTGCTGAGGGCTGCTCCCCCACCTGGGGGAAGCCCTGGCCCTGGGTGAACTCTTGGAATAAGCCTTTAAGCCTTCCAGTCCCCTGAGCTGTTCTCACGCCTGAATATCTGAGTTGTCCACCTTGGACCGATGGGTCCTGGGAGGACATATCCATCCCCCACTGCTGCTCTTTGGGACTTTTGGCTGGGCACCCAGGGAAGTGAGAACACGAAAGAGAGACCTGGCTTTAAATGGGGATTTGTATGTTTTGTTTTTTATAATACATTCATTTCCCAATGTACCCTCCTCCATTGGACCCTCCCTTGTAACCAATAAAAATGGAGGCAAAGCCCATGAAAAGGACCTCTTCTGGCAGTGTATGCACCATCCTGTCCCACTAACCCTCCACTTCTCTTCCAAGACTTGGGCAGAGGCCGTTTTTTGTAAGTTTGTAGGCTGTAAACAGTGGGGGTCTTTGGCAGGACATTTTAAAGCCAATGGAGGTGATGCGGAATGCCAGGGAGGGAATGAATGAAGATGCCAGGAAGGTGCACTCCTGGACTTTGGCAGCCTGGGAGACTTTGGGACAGAGAGGCCGTAGGGGCAGCCATTCAGAATCCAAAGACTCCTTCCTCTAGGCCTGGCCAGAGTTGGGGACAGAAGACAGTTGGGTCCTTGGGGGGCTTGGAGAGATGTGGCAAGGAAGGGAGGTCATTGGCTGTTCTCACTTCCCTCCCACCTCCATACACATTCACACGTATCAGGAAGCACCTACTATGTGCTGGGTATTGGGGCTTCCAAGGCTAAAGCGAGATAGCCCCCTGGCATCTGTGATCTCCTTGGTTCAGGAATTCCCTCCGCTGCCCATCCTGGGTAGTTGTTGTCTGTGTATGTAGATAGAAGTCCACACGGAATTGAACGAGCTAATTTTGGGAGGAAGGCACTCGCGGCTGGGCCAATGAGGAAAGGCCTCCTGTAGCCAACAGTGCCTGAGTCAAGTCTGGAAGGTGCAGGCTAGAAATATGTGGAGCATTCAGGACACGAAGGTGGAAGATGACACAGTCAGAACAGGGGGCACCAGGGCGGATAGTGATCCTGGTGAGGTGGTGGAGGGACGCCAGAGGGAGCGTCACGGAGGTCACGGAGTGGGGTGGCTGGGGAACGCTGACCATGATGCATCAGGGACTGGCCCAAGGAGTGTTAGGCTTGGTGTGAGGAGGTTGCTTTGGCAGCCGGGTGGAGGGTGGATGGGGAGGGGGCGGGAGGCAGGGATATAATGAGGCTGGCACCATAGTCCAGGCGTGAGGTGATGAGGGCCTATGCCAGTGAAGGTGAAACCTGCTGGCCAGCTGTGTGGAGGAATTGGGAGTGAGGGTTTGAGGGGGACACCCGGTGCGCCCATTGTCCCCTGTGGAAGTGTGCAAGATGGAGGGAAGATGGCCGGTCCTGCTTTGGTTGTGACAGAACTTGGGAAGCCTGTCGGGTTCAGGATGCCCAAGAGGCAAGTGGTGACAGATGCCGGATGTGGCTGAGGAGAGAGGTTAGGGCTGAGAATTATCTGCACACAGGTGGTCACTAAACCTGGGGAGATGCTGAGATCCCCCAGGGGATGAGCATGGAAGGAGGGGAGAAGAGGGTCCGAGACCGAGCTCAGGGGGCACCATCTGGAGGAGGACCCTGCAGAGGAGACGGAGAAGGAGCGGTCAGAGAGGGAGGATGAGAAGCAGGGTGGGGGTGTCCCCAAAACCCCAAGAGGGGTCTGGGAGAATGAGGCTTCATTTGGTGATAAGGATCCTTAGTCACTTTGGAGGGGGCAGCTCCACCCGAGCCCCCTCCCCAAGCCCAGGATGAAGCCCCCGGGGTTGGGAGGACCATGAGAGTGCCCGTTCATGGTCTGCTGGTGAGGGGCGGGCCAGTTAGGATGAGGGCGAAGAGGAAGGGGCTTCTGCAGCTGAGGCCTGGGCCCCTCTCACATCCAGGTCCCTTCTGTCTCCTCCCTTGTCTGTCACGCCCCTCTGCCCTTCCCTAGTGGGACAACCTGAGAACAGCCCCCTCCCTGGGCAATGCCAGCCCGAAACCAGTGCCGCTGTTACCGAGGAGGCCGAGCCGCTGCAGTCATGGGAGCAAGAGTATTTGGTGGGGAACAGCCCCGGGGGCAGCGGCCGGGCCCTGTGCATGGTGTGTGGCCAGGAGCTCCCCACTCCTTCCGCCCGAAGTGCCCGGAGGCACATCCTTCGTCAGCACCCCCACACCCTGGGCCTGAGCCCAGGGGAGAAGAGCAACATCCTTGAGGCCTGGAGCGAGGGCGTGGCCTTACTGGACTCCCTGGAGCCTCCGTCACCCCCAGGCAGCGGTAAGGAGGGGGCCTGGGAGGGAGGGCTGTAGGGCAGGGCTGGGGGGAGCCAGGGCTTCTTAGGGGGCTCTCCTTTCTGCCCCAGACCCTCCTGAGACACCAGCTGAGATTGTGGTGCTTTTGGACTCTGAGGAAAAGCCTGAATCACAGTCAACTCGGAACCGGCCCCGGGGACTCCGGCCCCTACAGCCTCCAGGTGAGATTCCCTAAGAGAGGGCAGTAGGGCCGCCAGAGCAGGGCTGCCGTCCTGGGAGGGGACTGACAGGTGGGCGCCGCCATATCTGCAGGCCGCTCTCTCCCCACAGCTCCCCCAGCCGTCGACACAGGGACCAAGAAGCTGCGGAGATGTAAGGAGCTGTCTGGGGAAGCCCCTCCCAAGAAGAAGAAGGGGAGGGGCCGGACCTCCAGCAGGGCTAAGGTCATGGCTAAACCCTCGGCCCCAAGCCCAGGTAAGGGAGGGCTGCAGAGATTGGGGCCAGAGGGGAGAGACTGAGGAAGCAGTGTCAGCTTGTCCTGGAGAAGGGAAGGCTCAGGGCGTATTTGAAGGGCCCTCCCCTGGGAGGAGGACTTGGGATGGCCGGCACCTTGAGAGCTTGGAGCTTGTGGTCTTGAGCCTCTATGAGTGGCAAGAAGCGGATGTACAGGGGAAGTGCTTTGAAGGTAAAGTGACAGGCTGTAACAGACTGATTGGATGTGGGGCCTGAGCCTGCTGGCCAGGGTGTGAGCTTGCCTGGGTGGGGAGAGACTTGTGGAGTTTGAGATGCCCAGAAGGCATTGGGTGATGGCTGAAGATGGAGGTCAGGGCTGGATAGATAGAGATAAGAATCATGGAGGAAGGCATCTGGGCCAGGGGAGATAGGAAGTCCTGGAGAAATGGCCTTCACTTTTTCAGCACTATATGAAACAAGGCTCTCGGCTGAGAAGGAGCTGCAGGAAGTTTCCAGGGGGCTGAAAATTGTAGGAGAGTTGCCATGGGGAGTGGGATAGGGAGTCCCCTGGGGTGGTTCAGGAAAAGGATTGCCTTGCAGCAGTGAGGGCCCAGTTCAGGTGACCTAACATAACCTGGCAGTGGACCCAGTCAGCAGGGCTCTGTGAGGGTCTCCGGCTTCCTTTAGCAGCACTCGGTAGGGGGAGTGATCCAGGGCTGAGCTTTGATCCACAGAACCTGAGAGAAGAGGATGGAATAGCATCGAACTGGTTTACCAAAGGGTAGGAAGGAACTGGGGGATGGCAGCCTTGGCCTTGTTGAGGACAAAGAAGAGGGTTAGGGCTGGTAAATCAGTGGGGAAAATTAGAATGATAAAGGATGATAATGGGCTGGAAATCACCTGAGTAAGACTAATTGGCAGTCTCCTTGTAGAGGAAAAGGACCTAAGGCAGCTGAAATCGTAGAGCATAGCATGTGAGCAGCTAGGGGATGCAGTGGAGTAGGAAGACCTGAGTTCAAATCCTGCTTGGGATACTAATTGGGTGACCCTGGGCAAGTCACTTAACCACTGTCTGCCTCTGTTTGCTCAACTGTAAACTGGGAATAGTGCTAGCACCTCCTGCCAGGGAGATTAAGATGAAATCATCTTTGGGATGCTAATGATGGTCGTGGTGATGGTGATAAGGATGGGGGTGGTGATGATGGTGATGATGAGGATGATGGGGGTGATGTTGCCCCCAAAACTGGCACCTCAGAAACCAGCCAGCCCAGCATCTTCAGTGTCCAGATGTAAGGAAAGCAGCCCCCACGTTGCTCTCTGTCCCTCCGCAGCGTTCCTCCCCCTTCCACACGTCACCTTAGAGCCCTTCTCGGCACCCACTGAAGTCCGACACTTCACAGACGGCAGCTTCCCACCGGGCTTTGTCCTCCAGCTCTTCTCCCACAGCCAGCTGAAAGCCTCGCAGGACAGGGCCTCATTAAAGGAAGGAGAGCCGGCGGAGGGGAGCCCCGGGCGGCCTCAGAGTCCCTCCCCAGGTGAGCCGTTGGCAAGCCTCTCAGACTGTGGGGTGGCTTGGGAAGGGGGCGGTGGCGGCGGGAGAAGGGCCCTGGCAGGCAGGCCTGCCTCCTCTCCGCCCCCTCCCCCCAGGGCCCTTTCTCGGCTCCACGACAGAGCGGGCCTCCTTGCAGAGGAAGGTCATAGCCCTGCGCAGCCCCGACAGCCTGGCCTGGTCTCACGTCAAAGCTCAGGCTCCCATCTGGGAAAGCTGACTCTTAGGCCAAGCTGGATGTCCAGATTCTGGAGGATCCCAAATCCAGCGCTGGCCCTTATGAGATGCTTTTTGAACCACCCTAATCCCATGTGCCAGATGATGGGACTGTCACAAACCTTTCTCTTTGGCAACCGTCTTGCGCTTTGGAATTTCCCTGTGATTGGGCACCAGATACGTAGGTGGCTCCCAGAGAGGAGTCGTTCCGGCCGGCATCACCCTCCAGAGGTGTAGTGAGAGACTGTGACCCCAGAGCACATGGGAGGAAGCCGTGGGCATCTGGTCTAAGGCGCTTGGGAAAGTCCCTCTGTGCCCTGGCCTGGTCTGACTCCAGCAGGCACGTTCCAGTTTAGCAAGGAAGACAATGATGAACTGGGAATGTCTGGAGAAGGATGCCAGGATGGGGAAGGGCCTTTGGGCCATACCGTGTGAGGATCACATAAAGCCTAGAGGAGAACTCTTCTGGGGAGGGGGTCCCGAAGATAACTAGGTCCTGGCCATTCCTCTGGGCAAGGTCCAGGGGCTCTCTTGGGCTGCAGAGTGCCAGGGTGACGTAGCAGCCGAATCCTAATGCGGTCTCAGGGTGTGTTGAGTGGCGTGTTGGTGTCCAGGACCGGGGGGGGTGATGGTGCCGCCGCCTCCTGCCCTGTCAGAGCTCTGGAGTCCTGCTCAGTTCTGCGGCCGCGTTTTAGGAAGGCCATCTATCAGCTGGGGAGTGTTGAGGAGGGCAGCAGGCCAGTGGAGGCGTGCCTGCCATCTGGGGCCTCTGGCGGAGGTTCAGCCGGGACGGGGGTTGGGAAGCCCACTTAAGGGCAGAACCAGGCATGGAGGGGGGAACGTCCCAGCCAGGAGAGCCATCCCCAGTTGGTGGCTCTCCCTCCTCTGAAGGGCCACGTGTTGGGGATTATGGAGAAGGGGCCCTTGGTGGGTCCAGGAGGTCCCCATCCTTCCTCCTGTGGCCCACGTTGGCTCCCAAGAGCTTCTGAGGGATAGCGCTGAATTCTGGAGTCCGCGTCAGGGGCCTTTCTGGCCAACCTCGAGAGAGAGGCCGATGGGCCTAGAGGGATTGAGGCCGGGAGTGTTTGTAGGGCCTCAGTGGTCATCAAGTCTGGCTTTGGCATTTTACAGATGGGGAGCCTGGGGCCCAGAGACATGAAGGCATTCGCCACTCACACAGGTAGTAGTGGCGGAGACTCTGAATGTGTCGCTGTTGGCGCGGAGGCCTCCTGCCTCGCGGCTCTAACGCTTCTCTCTTCATCCCTCCCCAGCTCCCTCCGCGGGGCTCCGAGGGACGCTGGACCTACAGGTGATCCGTGTGCGCCTGGAGGAGCCCCCCGCAGTCAGCCTGCTTCGGGATTGGTCCAAGCCACCCCAGGGACACCGGGCGGCAGTGGGGGCCGGTGACCCTCCAGGCTGGCAGGCCGTGCTGGCAGAGTCTGGTGTGGCCGCTCGGGAACAGCCAGAGGCCAGGCATGGGGTGTGAAGGCTGCTGTGGAGGAGGGGGGGACCTCACTGCACCTCCCCCTGCTTCCCCCTCCCCCAGTAGACCAGCCCCTCCGTCAGAAGATGCTGATGGAGCCGAGCACTTGAGCAGGGGTGGGGGAGAGTCCGCTTCTGCTCCCATTGGACGCTGCTAAGGGTCTGGGGTCTGGGTCTGGGTCGCGCCGGGCCGCTGCCGTCCTTGCACTAGGGTTCAGTGTTGATGGAGACCCCCTGTGTTTGCCCTTCCTTGTTCCTGCTTCACTGCTTCCCGCCAGCACAGTGCCTTACATAGGAGGTGGTCACAAGGGGGGACCCACTGGAGCCCTCTACTACCTCGGGGGAGTCTCCTCCCCCCACCTCCTCCTGGCCTCCTGACAGGGAGTCCCATCCCCTCTTTCCCCTCCCCCCACAGCAGAGCAGGGGGAGTCCTGGGGTGGGGGGGGAAGTAGCTCTGGAGACTCCCAAGCTCTGCCCGCTTTTCACCTGCCTATCAGCCTCCACCTCCACCAGTTCTTTCCCTTTGTACATACCCCTTTGTTGACAATAAATTATTATTTTTTATGAAGTGTCCTTTTGGGAGTTGTCATTGTGAATGGGCATCTGGAGGTGAGCAAGGAAGGGTCTCTGAGGTCAGGGGAGGCTCACCTGTAACATCTCCAGTCCGTCTGAGTGGGAGCCCGGCCCCACCAGCAGCCCTCTTGCCTTTAAACTCGTTCTTAGCTCGAGCCTAAATCTGCCGCTCCCAGGTTTCCACCGTTTGTCCCTAGACTTGCCCTTTGAGGCCAAGCAGAAGGTGACGATCATCCTGCTGTCCCTGAATCTCACCTTCCCCACCCTTGGCCTCCTGTTGCTCCAACGGATTCTCCTTACAGAGTTGGGTTTCAAGTCCCCCCTCCCCATTCTGGTCACCCTCCTAGGACACCTTCAGGCAGCAATACCTTCCTAAAATCTGGCACCCAGAATGCCTGAGAGTCCCTGCCAGTGTGAAGAGAGAGAAGCATTGTTCATTATGAACCTAGATTTCGCTTAAGTCGAGTAGGAAAGAATGTGTGATATCGGGGCTCCAAAGCCCAGCAGCCAACATTTTGTATTAGTCGTTCAGTCTGGATAGATTATCTGTGGGGGTGACCTGGGGGACTCGGGACCAGCCCTCTGTGTCTGAGCTTCACAAGATGAGGGGATGTTCACCAGGCGTTCAGGACCCCTTGTACTGCTGTAGTGCCAGATGCCATGCTGGGCACTGGAGAGAGACGACACGTGACAAAGTAATGATGAGGTCATTTGAAGGCACTTGCCGCTGGGGGAACAGGGTAGCCTCGTGGAGGAGGGGCAGCTCGTGCTGAGCCTTCAAAGAAGCCAGGGAGTTCAAGAGGTGGAAGTGAGGAAGGAGGGCATTCCAGGAGGCATAGGGTATGGCCTGGGCAAAGACAAGGAGGCAGGAGATGGCTGGACCAAAGAGTGGATGAAGGGGATGGAAGAGTAGGTGGGAGTTAGGTTGTGATGGTATTTGAGTGCCCCAAAGAGGAGTTTCTGTCTGATTTTGAAGGTGACTGAAAGGCTTTGGGCAGGAGTCTGGCAATTAGGAAGCTCCTGCGATGGGCCAGGGGTGAGGAACTGAGAGTCCCAACTGGAGTGGTGTTGAGAGGCACCAGTGCAAGAGATGTCGCACAAACAGAATCCGAAAGACTTGGCAACAAGATCGGATATGGGAAGTTAGACTGCTTCATTCTGGTCGTGAGGGTGTAGGCATCCTTCCAGGGATCTGGTGTCATTATAGCAGTCATAAAGAAAATGGCAGAGATCTCCGGGCAAGAATTCTCCCCATTTTTGAGGCCCCTCCCTTCCACGGACCCTGTGCCTGTTCCCCTTCCCCAATGGTTCCCATCCCCTTGTTCTCCCCATTCCTGTGAAGTTGAATCCCAGACTGCCAAAGAGCAAACCCCTCCCCCACATCCTCATTCATCCCAACCCCATCCCTCCAATGTTCCACGACATATCAGCTTGCTCCTTTGACATGCCCCCCCATGATTAACTAATTACCCTTCGTTTTAGAGTCCTTTCTATGCCGTTTCCATCCGCTGGCACTTGCTGAGATGACATTTCATTCCCGCCCACCCTTCCCAGTCCTCTGCTACCCCCCTCATCGTGGCTTCGTTCATGCTTATTGATCTCAGAGGTTCCCACTGCCTGCTTCCAGACTCCTCTCTACTGCTATCACTCAGCAATGTTTTCTCCTTTGAGGTTCACAGTGTCCAAATCTCACCCATTGTGGTAGATTGGGGGTGACTTTCATTACTGATCTCCGGGTCATTGACTCGGAGTCTCCACCCTACAAAGATCCTCATACCCAAACCTCCCAGTTCCTTAGTCTCCTTAATTCCCATGAGCTGCTTACTTGTCCACCCCATCTCAACTATACACAGCGACAGACGCATCCTTGATCTTAACCACCATCCACAAATGTTTCACTTCCTTTATCCGACTGTAATCTCCTGTTAGTTCATCTTTCTCTGCCTTACTCTTCTGAAACCCGTGACCTCCAATCCCCCCATTTTCCCATTACCTCTTCTCTGACTACAGTCTCCTCCCTTTCCAATATTGAGCCTTAAGGGAACTGGTTTAATTCTACATTATATTCTCAAATTCCTTGTCCTGGATTTGACCCTTAATGACTCCCACTCCTCCTACTGCTATTGAATAGAGCTGGAAGAAGTCACAAAACGTTGTCAGCTGGGTCCCTGCAAATTTGTTAACTAATCTCAAGTGGGCCCTCACTGTGGCAAGGCAATCCTTCTATTCCTAATTTATTCTCCATTTCATTGTTCCCCAGTGGCCTTCTCTTTTTCCTTAAAGATGGCATCTCCTCCCAACTCTCTGAGCTGAGGTTCTTCCCTTAGGCCTCACCAAAAAAATCCAGCTGTTCCCTGAAAGCCCTCTTCTCCCCTTCTCTTCATTTAATGACCTCTCTTCCTCATCTCATGCCTCCTTGCCATTTCCTACAATTTTCCCCTTTTTTCTAGGCTCTGATGAACATGTGATCCTTCTCAACAAGGCCAATCCCTATACCTGCATCCTTGATTCCTTCCCCGTCCATCTTCTCCAGTGATTGCCTCCTCTAACATCCTTACTCTCCCTTTACTCATCCCTCATTCTCCCCAAGGCTCTCTTCCTCTCTATCTATACCATCTCATTGGTGTTCTCATCAGCACCCATGGGTTTGATTGACTCTCAAATCCATGTAGCCAACCCTAGTCTCTTTGCAGTATCATGGATTGCCTGTTGGACAGATGTCCCTTAAATAGCTCACAATCAACACGTCCAAAGCAGAATTCATTTTCTCCTGCCCCTGGTACCTACCGCTCTTCCAAATTTTCCTGCTATTACTGAGGATGCGCATCACCACCCTTCCAGTGACCCGGGTTCAAAACTGCCTTGAATTCATTTTGTCTGGGCTATGTATATGCTACACTTTTTTGCCCTAGCTAGAATGTAAGCTCCTTGAGGGCAGCCACTGCTTCCTTTCTGTCTTTGTGTGCTCAGTGCAAATAGATGTTCAATGGATGGCTTTGAGGTTGCTAACGTGGATCACTAAAAGCATGGCCATGACCTCCGCAGAAACAGAGAAGTCTGGAAGAGGGCTGGTTTGTGGGGAAGATAGTGTGAATTGCATAACTGGTGACAAAACAAACAGGAATGAGAAAGAAGTGCCTGCTGATGCTCCACTGGACATCTCCCCCAATAAGAGTTGGTTCAAATAACTCAGATTAATCTCTCTGAGTGTCAGATTCCTTATCTGTGAAATGGGAGTAATCATACTTGTCAAGCCTACTTCGGAAGCGTTGTTCCAAGGATAAAGCACAATATTGCGTGTGAACCTCTTTACCAACTTTAAAGGGTTCAGGCGGTTATATGTCAGTTATAGAAATGGCACACTGCCCCCCTTGTAAGCTAGTGTAAGGGAGGTGGGGATGGGGCTGGGTCCAACGTGGCCTAATGGGACAAGTCTGAGAGCAGGAGTCATGCATAAGAAGTTACTGAATTTCAGAGCTGATCTATAGCTTCGATATCTGGTCTCGTGATGGCCGGGGATGTTTGCAATTTTGCCTGAGTGTCCCCAGTGCCTAGCACATAGTAGGTGCTTGATAAAAACCTGCTGGTGCATTGATTAAGTCTGTCATTTTTTACAAGAAACAGAAGTCCAGAAAGAGGAAAAGATTGCTCACTAGTCACAGAACCGGTTAGTGGCAGAGCTGGGACTGGAAACCTGGCACACCAGTCCCCAGGACTCTTTCTTCTCCACCACCTTTCCTCAGCCACTCTGTTGACTCAAATATATTTTAATCTAATTTCGCCTCTTACCCCCTTCTGGGCTTTCATTTCCTTGGCCATAGAGTGATGAAGATAAGTACATACCCTTTCTCTTAAGGAAAAAAATGAGGAAGAAGCATTTTGATAGGGGGGGAAAGGTAGTTAGGTGGAATTAGAGACAATTTCTGTTACATGTGATGATCAGTTTAGTCTCTCAATGAACCTCATCAATAAATGATACAATTTAAAACACTATTGAAATACCATCTTGCATCCATCAGATTGGCAAAAGTGAAAAGCAAAGAAACTCAATGTTAATGGGTCTGTGGAGGAACAGGAGCCCTCACTTGTGGAACTGCTAACTTGTTTAGGAGAAGAATCTGGTGATGCATCATAAAAGTTATAGAAAGAAATTATGCCCCCAGGTGCAATCTGGGTTTAAAAAGAGCTCTCTGAGCAATTTGGAATTATGTCCAAAGGGCAATGAAACTGCATATCCTTTAATCCAGCAATACCACTACTAGGTCTGTATGCCAAAGAGATTTAAAAAAAAAAAGGAAAAGATCCTGTATATACAAAAATATTTATAGCAGCTCTTTTTGTGGTGGCAAAGAATTGGAAACAGGAGATGCCCATCCATTGGAGAATGGCTGAACAAGTGGTATATGATTGTGATGGAATACTATTGAGCTATAAGAAATGACAAGCAGGTGGACTTTAGAAAAACCAGGAAAGACTTAACGTGAACCGATGCTGAGCAGAACCAAGAGAACATTGTACATAGTAACAGCAACGTTGTGCTACGACCGACTTTGCTAGACTTAGCTCTTCTCAGCAATGCAGTGATCTAAGACAACCCCCAAAGACTCATGAAGAAAAATGCTATCCACATCCAGAGAAAGAATTACGGAGTCTGAATGTAGTTTGAAGCATATTTTCACCTTCTTAATCTTTTTCTTTATTTTATTCCTTTTGTTCTGTTTCTTCTATCAAAACATGACTAACACAGAAATATATTTAAATGATTACACATGCATGAATTATATCAAATTGCTTACCATCTTAGGGAGGGGGAGGGGGGAAGAAGGGAGAAAATTTAGAACTCAAAATCTTATTTAAAAAAGAATGTTTAAAGTGTCTTTATGTGCAATTGGAAAAATAAAATACCATTTAAAATGTCATTTAAAAAAAGAGCTCTGTTCAAAGATTTTCATTCATTGTAATTGACAAAAACCAGGACGCCATCTCGACATCCAACAATA